CTGTGCTGTGCTGTGCTGTGATGTGATGTGCTGTGCTAAATACCTCTTTAAATTGCTGTAATCTGGTAATGCAGCCTTGATTCTCATATCTGCAGGATACCGAACTAGACGAAGAACTACCTCTGGATGACATAGACAGCGACACCGAATCTACGAACCAAGAAACCGAAGCCCAAAACAAAGTAGAAACATCAGAGAAAGATATCGACGATGAAGAGGAAGGAGAATCGCTTTATCCCGACACCAGTATTGGACTRAAGATTGTTAGTGGAAAGTAAGCATGACTGTTAGTAGAGTAAGCTCAAAACAGTGGTCCAAARCAGGGACCCGGGCAAAACTCCAGTTTCGAGTTCTCTGTTGCTCAGGGTTAGCCTAGATTTTGTGTAGAATATTCAMTTGTTCCAGTGAAGGTCCGTGGAATTGTTGAAGTTGTGCATTCTTAACTTTACTGTTGGTATTTGTGAATATTTAGACACTGATGCGAGTGTTGAAGSCTGAGTAAATGAGTCTGTAAACAAGGAATAGAGCGGTAATTTGGAACTCGAGTTTTTTTATCTACGTGGTTGGTACCAATGACGTAGCTGAGTGGAATATTGATCATTGTTTTCTTGTTTGAAGGATTAAGTTGAATCGAGAAAGGAGCACGTCAAGTAGCGTACAGGAAGATGACGAACAAGAGATCTTTCTTGGTGATGACAGAAAACTGAACCTCCGAGAAAACAAAGAAAAGGTAGGACGACAGATGTTGCACCATGCTTTGTGAATGAGACAATCAATTTCTGGTCGGAACCTTACACTGGATTAACACATTCATCTTAAGGCCTCCTATCCTTTTAGCCATTTCGAGGTTGAGGGGGAAAACTGGGTCGAGTTGGCAGTGTAGTGCATTGTGGGACCGTTTGCGGGGACGAAACATTCTCGTTCCCAGATCCTCCTCGGTTGTTGTTCGTCCTCCCCGTCAGAGGCGCTGGGAAACCCTACAACCAGAAGCAAGGAATATTGCGACCACGTCCTCACGGCGCATGCTCGAACTCTTATAAAGACAAGCCAGGACAAGCATGGACAAGCCTTTGGCTTTGTGAAATCTACAAATGGCGAACAAAAACATCTATTTGTCTTTGATAATCCAATCAAAAAGTAGATCTATTGTTCTTTTTAAAGGCCAATCAAATTGCGAGAAATTGTAGGGTTTCCCAGAGCCTCTGACGGCGAGGAACGACAACCGAGGAAGATCTGGGAACAGACGCCAATTTCATCCCCAAAACATACCCACAATGCACTACATGTCGGCTCGACCCATTTTCTCCTCAACCTTAAAATGGCTGATAGAACTGTCARTTGATAGTAGTTATATTACTTATATCGATTTCATCATTTAATGAGTAATAACAAGTAATAATAAAATCGAATGAAAATTTCAGGCGTCTCTTGTTGCMCAGCAACGGATGTCCAAGACCAAATCGTAAGTTTGGCCAATCTACTGTTTAATTTATGTTGTGGTAACAACTTTATGGAGCTTGCTTGAATTTCAACTTTTCTAAGAGTACAGAATAGTGTGAGTAAAAGAGTTAATTTGTGGGATATCTGCATGTTTCTCGTAGAGAAGAAAAGGGAAAGTCAAAGAAAAAGAAACAGCAGCAGCAAGAAAAAGTTGACGACGAACAGGCAAAACAAATAGCACAGTCTCAGGTATGTACAGCCTATCACCATGGCAACTGTCTTTGAGATCACCATGGTCACAATCTGACTACGCTTTATTTTGGTCTTTGCTTGTCTACTTTCATTCTTTCATTTACTTTCATTTACTCATGCACTTGTTTAGCAGGCATTGTTTACATCATCATCATGACAATCATCATTAAGAACATCATCATTACCATCATCACCAGTATGAACTTCATTATCAGCAACATCATCATCGTCATCACCACCAACATCATCACCATCATCATGGTCATCATCACCATCATCATCACCATCATCATCACCATCATCATCCCCATCACCACCACCATCACCATCATCATCACCACCATCATGATCATCACAACCACCATCATCATGATCATGATCATCAATATCTTCAACATATCATCAACATCATCAACATATCACCATCATCATAATCATCATTATTACATATCATGACTAACATCATTATCACCATCGTCATCATTACCAACATCATCAACATCGTCATCAATCATCATTATCTAATCATGATATCATCATCACTATCATCATCGTCACCTAACCATGACGTCATCATCATCATTAGTAACATAATTAGTCATCAGCATCATTCAAGATTGCTTTCTTTGATCATTTCTGAAACTAAAACGATTTCAGATCCCATTACTTTAGATCCCATTTGTTCACTAAGTACGATAACTTGAAAGTGTTTCGTTATAGCTATTCCACGTTACATTTTTTTTACAGAAAAAAGAGCAGCCACAACAACAAAAGAGAGGACAAAAGGTACCCCCTGTTACCCATGAGAAGTACTGAAGGATTCAAAATTGAGCACAGRACTTATGAACCTATTTTTTATGTTTTAGGCAAAGCTGAATAAAGTAAAAGAAAAGTATGGCGACCAGGATGAGGATGAAAGAAGAATGAGAATGGAAATCTTGGCTGTRAGTATTACTGCAGTTTTCATAAGCATGCAAACCCTGTGTATGCGAGCTGCACGCTGAAATTTGTTTTTTCCATGCCGTCAATCAAACCTAATCAGTCGGTACCTTTTACATTTGTGACTGGCGGCAGCGAAAACCAAATTTCAACGTGTAGCTTGCAAGCTATCGAGCTCGCATGTTTATGAAAACTGCAGTAAGTTAAATATCTCAAATACCTTATTTCATTACTATTTTCACGATTAAGTTCACGATTTCGGAGGGYGCATATGTGTTCTCGACGTGGTTTTGCATTCGCATTTTTGAATTTCGCATTCATTTTTAGTAGGGGGAGAGGGTCAGAGGAATTAAGGGGAGGGCCAATAGTGTTTTGACACGGGCAAGGAAGGCTCATCAGTATTTTCATTTYAATCSRAAGTTCTGTCATCGAAGAAGACTGWCAAACGATGGTTAGGGTCACGATAGTTATTGCTAAGAAAGGGAGAGTTGTTGATTTTTCTATGATATATCATGTAGATTCCTCCTGGCCTCCCCCTCCCCCTCCCCCTCCCCCTCCATCCTTCTATAAAAGAAGAATGTTCCTTGCGAGTGTAGCAGACATCCATTTTGGACCTCAAAGTGGTTTGTTTTCGCATTTTACGCCTAAGAACCGGTGTTTTATTTTTTAAATACATATTTTCGTTACTTTTTTCGTTTTGTTTCCATAGTCTGCTGGTGAGAAGAAGGARACAAAAGCTGATAAAAGACGACAAAAAAAGCAGAACAAAGCAGACAGAAGCTCACGTCCTGCCACCAGCAATAAGAAGAACCCTAGRCAACCAAACATTACTCCGTTACCATGGGAACAAGACCAGCTTCAAACCGAGGGTGCGGAGGGAACTGGGGCGAGTGGGCAAGACGCTGAAACGACAAAAGTTGAATCAGAAAGATCTGAGGTGAAAGACAACAAACCAATCGAGGTATGAATTACAGATGCAATAAGTAATGGTATTTAAAGCCGGTATATTGGTGAAACTTTGTTTTTTTCTTTCGTTGTATCTGCAAACGTGGCGGAATAGATCTCTAGCTTGAGCTTAATGTTTTCACATTTCAGACCACGTGTCATTCTAAAAAGCTACATTTCTTTATTAACGGTTGTGCATGAGAAGACACATGAATATGGACGCAACTCAAACTAAGAATCTTATTCTCAAGAGAATGACACGTGATGTTGATATTTGCTTTAGAATTGTTATTCTAATTTACTTAATTAGATTATTAATTATACAGCTTCTCATTAATCCCATATAGGTAACTGTCCGATTATTCTCTTAATTGGACAGGTCTTGTTGATATGGAATTAATTAGGCAGCTATATAATTGATAGGTAATGGGATTTCATGCTCCCCAATCAAGAAATAATTAGACTCGAAAAATTCCTCTGACTGCCAAATAGGACTCGGCCTACGGCCTCATCCAATTTTGGAAGTCCTCGGAATTTTCCTCGTCCAATTATATTTCTTAATTGGACAGCATGGAGTCCTATTACATATACATGTACTAATAAATATTATTTTGTATTTGCTTACAGGGTGCTGTTGGTGTTGATGACGACGAAGATGAGGATGAGGACATGGAATCGAAGGAATCCAAGGTACTTTATAACTCTACTTTGCATTGTGGTCTAGCTTGGGTACAAACAGGTTTTGTTCTCCACGCCTTATATGGTTATTTGCACCCAATGTGTACCACAATGCATCTTGTTCCACAATGCAACTCTGAATAGGTCTTTTCACTAGTCAAGTTATAAGAATTAAGAAAAATCTTCTGAAGCGATCTATTCGTAATTCAAATTTTCGTTTTTCTATAAGCCCTGCAACAACGCTTAAATTTAAACTAGGAAAAATTACACTMAGACTTAAATTAACTTCTTTTTGCTAAGGTAATCTATAATAATGACGCTTACAAAAGTAAAATAGTCAAGTCTTAAAARTATTGCCCATAATTGGTTGTTTCGTGCCAAGATGAAGCTTGGTTTTTGATGATTTATGAAGGGATGATCCGAAATGAATGAGTCATTTTTTCAAGTTGTTCAACCTCTAACAATTAATAACACTTAGTTTGGAGAATAATTTGAACCACTTAAAATAGGCTTATTTTGTCTGAGAGCTGAAGTCGTAAAAGTTTGAAAAATTGTGGCATTTGATCATTTTCGAATTTGTACAATTGATCACAGACTCATTTTTCAGGCTTAGGCTCATGTTAATGTCAGACGAATCACAAATACCAACAGTAAAGTAAAGAATGCACAACTTGAATGTTACAAACACTTTGAAATTCCACGGACCTTAACTGGAAGACATCAGTATATTCTAGACAAAATCGAAGCTACTCTAAGCAAACAAAATTTTAGACTTGTTCATTTCAATGTTATGGCATGTCGTACCGTGTACGTGCTGTATGTCAGTACTGTATGTTTCC